CTCCATTGCCTGCAGGTAAACCACACAAACACTAAAAAAAACAAAACACTGCAACAAATGTATGTACCCAATCACATCAAGCTTGTCAGAATGCACAAAAAGCCACAAGAAAGAGAAACAGCCTGTTGTTAAAGTGCCCCTATTATGCCATTTTTAAGGTTGCTAATATTGTTTTATGAGTCTCCTAAAACAGGTTTACATGCATGCAAGGTCAAAAAACACGTTAGTTTTCTCAAAAAATAGATTTAATTTTACTTCAGTTCTACATGATTCGTAAACGACTCGTGCGAAGCAGTTCAAAGAATCAGTCTCTCTAAACCCCTCCTTTCCGTGAGCCCTCACTGCTGTGATTGGTCAGATGGCGCAGTCCTTTGTGATTGGCCCAGAGCCGTAGAGATTGTCTCTGGATTGGTCTACCGCGTAGAGCACGTGTCAGAATTGAAACGCCCATTCCCATGACATGACAGCCCTGAGACATGTCAATATATAGAAAAGATGGTTTCAATTGTACCTTACCAATTCGAGCCGCAGTCTGATGATAAATCGGTTGAACTGGCTGATCGACAAGAGACTGATTCGCAAGCACGACTGGAGCAGGCCGTTTCTCAGTGGTAAGTGTCAAGTGTTAACAAGTTTGTGGTAATTATAAGATGTGATAAAACAAATGTACTCTCACAGCGTAGGGTACAGCGTCTTCTCGACATGATGTTAACCACACGGAAATTTTACTGTTTGTGGGCGGGCAAGTTGGTGACAAAACGTGGGAAGACATTATGCAAATGTGTTACTTCTTGACGTAGAGCCGTAACGAGATTTTTGAAGATTTAAGATTCCTGACGACTCGTTTAGGCGATTGCGAGCCGACTCTTTTTTTTTTTTTTGATAGACAATAACTTTGTTTATCGTGCACTGTCGGCGTGATAGTGCAGATAGTTTATGTTCACATACAGCTACATGACACACTACATGAAAGGTAATATTCGAAAAGGCATAATAGGGGCACTTTAAGATTACCCATAATGCATCACTGCAACTCACTGACCTTGTCCAGGTACTGATTAATATTGTCACTTGTGATGGAGGGGTCTGTGATGAACTCAAACAGCTCACGTACAGTCATAACAGCTACATTATGCTTCTGGAAAAAGTCTGAGAGAACCAAAAAAAAAAAAAGAATTAAAAAATATTTGTTGACATTAATATTAATATCTTATCCTATTCAAGGCTGCACATTACCATTGACATTGCTGCAATCTTTGCGAAGAAACTCTAAAGCATGTGGGTGATCGTGCTCAACGGACTGAGAGACGTCAATGATATAAGCATCTCCGTTATGATACCTGCACACCAGAACACATCAATGCTTAATGTTTTCCTACACTTTCCACTGATCACAGTACAACTGAACATCAGCAAACATTAACTGATGCTTAAAAAAACCTTGTGTACATAATATAAAGTCAGCTTACAGCATATTGAACTCGCTAAGGTCAGCATGGACCAGACGAGCATCATTGTACATTATTCTCATATTCTGGATGATCTGTAGGTAGAGTTCCCTGGATTTGGATTCGGACAGGACAGCGTTCTTCAGCAGAGGGGCAGGCCTGGGGAATACACTGGAGTGTCATTTAGGAATATGTTGAAAACTCTGAAACATTGCCATGTTTTGATCAGTTGCCGAGAAGTATGTGTGCATGTGTAAATGGTGAAGGTAAAAGCCCACGTACATGTCATCTCGACCAATGAAGCTCATGACAAGGACGTGACTCCGCAACATGATGGGCTCTGGACTTGGAATCTGTGCGGTCTGTAGTCTTGAGGTAAATGGATCCACATTAGAGACAAAAAACATCATTAAACGTTCATGAAAAAAAGAAAGTAGTAATAATAATAATAATATTCACCTGATCAAGTTTCTCATTTCCTTCTCAGCCCAAGTGCGCACCATTTTCCTAGGATTGCCCTTGCAATAGCCATGGCGGAACCTAAATCCGGACATAGAATTTTCACTATATTTTGACATATTGGACATAGAAATTTGCTGTTTAATGACACACATCAATAAGACTAAATAGGACTAAATGCCTGAACAAAGACATCCATCTTACCTGAATTCCCCGCTGACATATTTATCTCTGTCTTTGAATAATAGAATTGATGTTTTGTATATTTTGATGGCTCTGCTTTCTCCTTTTGCAGTAGTTGCATGGTAGACATTTGCCTGTGGTACAAAATGCAGGAGAGAAAAAAAAAAGAAAAAGAATAGAATAGCAAAAGAAAAAAAGCAACATTAACATTAGTTCTTAGTAAAAAGTCTGATATAAACAAGATCTCAACTCTGCTTTCTCCTTTTGCAGTAGTTGCATGGTAGACATTTGCCTGTGGTACAAAATGCAGGAGAGAAAAAAAAAAGAAAAAAGAATAGAATAGCAAAAGAAAAAAAGCAACATTAACATTAGTTCTTAGTAAAAAGTCTGATATAAACAAGATCTCATGTGTACCAAAAATATAGCAATTGATCATTTTATTCTATTCAACCAGACAAACTAGGGTTATAATAGTTACCTAAATTATTTTTCATTACTTGAAATAAAATAAAAAATTAACTGAAATAAAACAATTTATAAAAAACATGTCTCATATTCAACCTCAAGTACTAAAATAACAAAGAATAAATGAACTAAAACTAATAAACAGATCAATTACACTAAAATAACATTAAAACAAACTTGCCTCTTTGCCTGTGCTGATACAGCCATTGATCTCTGAAAAGACGCCTCTGCTGAGCATTTTAAACAGAATCATACGTGTACGGGGGTCCAAAACCTGTACAGTCACATTAAAATATCACACTGAATAATGCACCAATCACAACACAGGAGCTCAAGTGAAATCAAAACCAATAAATCTTGAGCAAACAACACACCTGTTCAACAGTAGCTCTGTCGGATTTGTCCTTTACCCGAAAACTGCAAAAAATGTATGCGGTTTTTAAGATTAAAAGACTTCAACTTGAACGGAAATCATGTCTGTTATACGCTGTTACTTCTAACTAAAAAATAAAACTATAACTATTAACAATACTTTTTGTTAATTGAAAAGCTGAAGTAAAATATACAAATATTAGATGAAAAACTTTTGTTTTATTTTTAATTTTCTTTTAATTACTAAAACTGAATTAAAAATAAATTAAAAGCCAAATATAAATACATACAAAAAAAAACACCAATAAAAACGACAAAAGCACATGATAAAATTACTTAAGCTAAAACTAAAAAATATATACAAATAAAATCTAATTCAAACTACTATCAAATACTATTATAGTATATAAATAATACTAAAATAAGATTACATACGTGTCTGCTTCCCTCTGCTTTTGCATCACAGTGACTTTATTGATCACAGAATCAGCATAGCTCAGTCTATCTGTGAAACATAGATACTTAAATCAGAAAAAGCACAACTTTTAAACCAGAAAAAGTAAAGCTTTTAGCGCATTTTCTCAATATAAGTTTTGATTCATTAATAATAAGCTTACCAAGGTTTATTTTGTTTTCAAATTTCCTCAGGACTTTGTCTGATGGGGTGGACATCTTTGAGGACTTATTATTAGAATTTTGACGATTAGCCTGGTGAAAAAACCCCACATATAACTCTATTGTAATTTAAACTACACAAATTCTTAGAAACACTGGCCTTGCACAATCCTTGCATAATTATTTATTTATGTTTTAAGGCCATATCAGCAACAACGGCTATATTCATGGCAACATTAACAGTATCATTTCAATATACAATATCATTACAATAATATAACATTTTCTTAAGAAACAATCATTATACAAAAACATACAAGAAACAATAGTACTGATCCTTCCATAATGAATACCTGTGGATTATTTCCAGTCCTCATGGCAGTGTAGCGTTTTGTGAAGTCTCCTCCTCCTGATTCATTCCAATCCCATTCATCGTCCTCTTCCTCATCTTCCTCATCATCATCATAGTCCTCCTCATTTTCGAAGGTCTGTAAAGTGACTTCATGGAGTGGGTTCTCCAGGGAGGGCTTGTCAGGGACGTGATTGATTTCAGCCTCACTGTGAAATACCATACTGTGTAAACTTAACCCATTTAGCATTTGTTATCCAAAATGTTTTATTAATATGATTTGCTGGTGTAATGAGTCACAATAATTCCAGTTTGCCTCTCTGAAAATATGAAACATATCCTGTCATAATAAACATACAGCTACCATACATGGTATGGTACACAAATCACTGATCTATGAATGTTTGTTCTCTATTATAGATCAGTGGCTGGTACACATACTGTTTTGGTGTGTATATATCAGTATATTATTGTTATTCATGATCGTGGAACCCTGTGATATGACTGACAACATGCTTCTAACAATTGAACCTAATGTAGTTTCATACCTTCCCTCGTCCGCGTCTTCAAACTGCCCGGGTACAACCGGATACATCGCGGTGCTCTAATTTGAAATGTCGGAATCCTTAAAATATATCTTAACAAAAAAAGAGAATGTAAAGGAACTGACCAAACACTGTCAAAACACGCTTACATACCAACAGCACGCACGCACGCACACCAGCGACTTCTTACTTCCGGCAACGTGGGTAAGAGCGCTGCGAAGGGTCAACGAGCGAATTCGTAACGGCAAGTCATACATTGATTTTCAGAAGGCTTTCAGAAGATCCATGCATTTTTGTACTTCTTAAAAGATATACTGTTGATATCAAACGTAAACAAAATTAGATTTAACAGGGGTTGTTTTTTTATGCGAGTGGTGCATTTGGGGGGTTGCCAGGCTGTTCTGGGTATTACCAGGTTGTTCTGTTCATAATCTTAATATTATGAGTTACTAATAATATTAAATATAAATACTATAATAATACAATATTCATGTTAATATTATAGAAAAGTTTTAATTGAGAAAAAATGTAGACAGAGAAAATAGAATGAATTTCTCACTCTTTCTTAGTGAGCATTTATTGATTGGATGTTTTATTCGCTTTACAGGGTTGAACAGCAAGGTGAAAAAGGCAAAAAAATCACTGAGTTGTCTGCATCTGAATTGATCTGACAAATATTTGCAATCCATCTGACAAACATGGTCACTGATTATGATAGCGTAATAAATTACAATACCAATTTTTGCAGAAAAGTTTTGGTACAATTAAGGCTAAGGCATACTTTGACCAAATTCAGTCAAATGCTTAAATGTAGTGTAGTGAACAGAGTTTGAACTGTATACACCAGACAGATTACACAGAAAGATGGTGGTTTTGAAAACCCCCTGAGAAAGAGAATAACTGAGAAATTCAAATTAGATTAACATGCAAAATCAATATTTTTATAACTATATTGTCACACCCATCAAATTATACTCTATGGTTCAATGCTCTCAAATGAATGGATAGTTGAAGTGGTTGAAGGTTTCATTAGCTGACAAGCAAAAAGACACACAAAAGAGATAATAATCTAAAGCATTTGAATGTACAAAGAATCTGAAAACATACAGAACCTCACAATCTCAAAATTCAACAACATTCATCTTTTGGATTCTCCTCGTTGCAGAAATTGGATTCTACATGGCTTTTCAAAATGACAACCACACGCTTTAGACTGATCAATAAATACCTGCATAGCATGTTCAGTGTTTTCGATCCATATATCTGGGCGCACACACACACACACTTGTACAAATTTACAAGTACAAACATCATTACACTCACACAAAAAAGAAAACGTTTTTAACTTTCAACAAATATAAAGGCCAGTTCATTTACAATGTTTAAATTGGTTTTAAATCCAAAGACTCACAGCTTTCAAAATGAATCAAACTAGCAAACATTTTGCCACTGAGAGGACTTCAGCCAAATTGACTAAATCTCAAATGAAGTGTTGTGTTGGGCTTCAGGGGTTATCCAAGTCACTCTATTGCAACAACTAGTGTAAAACTGTATTTCTGTTTTGTTTTGTTTCAGGGAAGATTGAAATCCTTTCTACATAAACCAGTATGAGGGATACTTTTTAGATGCCTTTTTAGATACTTTTAGAACCGATATCTACCAGATAAATTGATTTTTAGTGTGAACACCAGTGTTGAAGTCAATCCTTGGGAGATTTCCAGTACAAACACAAAACCAAGGAGGCAAACACAAATCACACTTTAAAGATACATATAATGTACTCTGAATCACACTGACATTAAATACATACTGCTTGACTCTCAGAAGCACTCTTCTCTCTGATGCACAGGCCTTATGATAGGATACTTCACACTACGCCACCAGAAGGCACTGCTTCAAGCTTTCCAGCCATTTATACTGTCTGCATCATTTGTCAATGAGACTCAAAGATGGAGGATAATATACAAAGAACAGGCAAATATTGCCGATAAACTGATTGGCTGATGATCACCCAAAATAAAAATGACAGAGCTAAACAGCAATTTTATCCAAAATGTGTATTCAGCCAATCTTGATAATGAAAATGAGTCAGGCACTTCAGCTCTCACACAGAAACTGACTTAAGAATAATACAATTTAATGCTGATATATAAAACTTCTGTTCATCATACAAATGCTTCTAATTTATTGATATAAAGTCTTTATATGATTCATTAAAAATCATATAAATAGGATTAAAATTGCTACTGTCCTGTTATGTGTTGATCCAGATCTTTAGAAAAAAAGCATTAAGGCATCAAGAGAAGAATCACTGTGCTTCAGAAACTGTTCTCCAGTCTGCATCTGTCATGCATACTGTATAAGACAAATATCGGCAAAAGCCAGGCTTTGTAACTCCTAGTGTTTGTGGAAGTTTGATAAGCTATGGCACAAAATCAACAGTGAATTTTCTCTTCACTGATCGGGTGTCTCCATCACTTCCTGAGCTGCTATACAGCTATGGACACTGATTTTTGCATGTTCTGGGTCACAGCCTGATTGGCCCTCTACTGAGGCAACTAACGTTTGATGCTCCTCCTGTTCAGCCCCATCTGACTGAGGTTCTTTGTCAGGTTCTTCAGCAGATTCCATCTCCACGGATGTATCTTCAGGGTGCTGCTTCTCCTTAATTTCCTCCATGTGTCCTTCGCTCTCTTCTTCTTGGGGTGCTCCTGCTTTTTCACATTCATTCTCACTCTGGATTGGAGCTGTTGCTTCACTTTGACTTCCAGATGAACATCTGACCTCTTTTCCCTCCAGCATTTCTCCATTATCTTTTTCTCCATCCATTTCTTCATTAATTTCTGCCTCATCTGTCCCTTTTTCATCTGTGGGTTTCTGGTGGACGCGTTGATGCCTCACCAGACTGTGCTTCAGGGTGAAGGTGCGATGACAGGTTTGGCACTTATAAGGTCGCTCACCTACAACAAAAAGGTTCATTTTAGATGCATCAACTTCATATTTGTTTTTTTGTTTTTATTGGAAGGTATATTTTATTAAAGGGGTCATAGGATGCCCATTTTCCACAAGTTGATATGATTCTTTAGGGTCTTGATGAAAAGTCTGTAACAGTTTGGTTAAAATGTTTCAATGGTAGTGTAAAAAACACCTTTAAAAAAAAAAAACAGTTTTGTAGCATTTTCCTTTAAATGTTAATGAGCTCTGCTGACCCCGCCCCTCTCTTCTGAGTCGCTCTCTGAGGGCCTGTTTTTGTGACGTCACACAGACAGGCATCTGAGATCGGCTCGATTTGAGAGAGGGGTAAAGATTTGAGCAGATTAAAAAAAACACTGGGTAGATCTTTATCATTTTAGGGTGGTTGTGTACACACACTGCCAACACACATTTCAGTTCAAACAACTTGTAAAAGTGCATGCATATGCATCACATGACCCCTTTAATAAATCATGGACCGTAAATAATAACAATAAAAGGCTCCTGATCTTACCAGTATGTGAGCGCATGTGTCTGGTCAGGTCTTGCAGGCTCCAGAAACGTTTGCTGCACACAGCACAGATCTTCTTCCTTTTATCGGTTTTGCCTCCAGCCGGGACGTCCTCCTCTTCCAAAGCCCTGAGCTCTGAGGAAGCAGCCTCTTCTTCATCATCACTCATCTCTTCCCTCTCCTTCTCCTCCTCATCGGCACCACTTTCCACACAGCTGCTGTTCTCGTCCTTTTCATCATCTTCTAACTTTGCATCCTGCTCCATCTCCTTTCTGGGTGATGTGACTGGGCTTTGAGGAGCAGGTTGGCGTCTTCCCTTTTTGCCTCCATCCTCTGGCTGGACCTCCTGAATGTGAGTTTTCTGGTGCCGGCTGAGAGTGGCTGCATGGCGAAAGGTCTTCTTGCAGGACACACAGGTGTGGGGGAACTCATCCGGTGGAGAAACTGGTTCAGCTGTTGATTTAGGCTGGTGCTGCTCCACTCCAGAAAGCTTGAAGTCTACAAGCATTTTAGCGAGGTTCATATCAAGACTGTTATTGCTTTGAGAGTCATCATCATTATTTTCTACTCTCTCAGGGTGTGTTTGGTTTGAGTCTGAGCTGCTGTCTGTTTGTTCAGTGGCTGATTGTCCTGTTTGTTCTGGTGCTTGTTCCGGAGATGAAGCTCTCTCCTCTTGTTTGGGGTTGACAGAGCTCAGATCCACAATATCTCTGGCTACAGGAGGTTCTGTGTCAGATCCACTCTCTTCTAAGACAAGAAAAGCTTGTTAAGCAAAGCATTTGTCAAGCATTTGGAAAAAATATGAACTGAACTGATCTTACTTCATATAGTATACTGTATATGCAAGACCATTAGGGCTACAAAATAATATATAAGATAATGGTTCTGACCAATAGTGCCAGTGCTTCCTTGGGATCCTTCATCAGCCTTAGGTTTGGGTGGAGATCCACTGTTTTGAAGAGTCCGATTAGATATTCCATGTTTGCGGAGCAGGTGGCGCTCACAGTTTGACTTGGTGGAGAAGAATGACTCACACTGAGGACAAGGGTATGGCTTCTGACCTGTGAAATCAATGCACAAAACTGTAACACCCTGAAGAGAGAAACAAAACATTATTGACTCAAATACATTGGATCAAAGAAAAAGTTAATATATACGTTACATAATAAATGTAAAAGTTTGGGGTCGGTAAGATTATTTATTGTTTTTGAAAGAAGTCTCTAATGCTCACTATTTCACTATGTCTTCACTATAAATACAGTAAAAAGAATAATACTGTGAAATATTATTACAACTTAAAATAACTGTTTTCTATTTGAATATATTTTAAAATGTAATTTATTTCTGTGATTGCTGAATTTTCAGCAGTCATTACTCCAGTTTTCAGTGTCAGATGATCCTTCAGAAATCATTCTCATATGCTGATTTGGTGCGCAAGAAACATTTCAATGTTGAAAACGAGAGTGGCTGCATGGCGAAAGGTCTTCTTGCAGGACACACAGGTGTGGGGGAACTCATCCGGTGGAGAAACTGGTTCAGCTGTTGATTTAGGCTGGTGCTGCTCCACTCCAGAAAGCTTGAAGTCTACAAGCATTTTAGCGAGGTTCATATCAAGACTGTTATTGCTTTGAGAGTCATCATCATTATTTTCTACTCTCTCAGGGTGTGTTTGGTTTGAGTCTGAGCTGCTGTCTGTTTGTTCAGTGGCTGATTGTCCTGTTTGTTCTGGTGCTTGTTCCGGAGATGAAGCTCTCTCCTCTTGTTTGGGGTTGACAGAGCTCAGATCCACAATATCTCTGGCTACAGGAGGTTCTGTGTCAGATCCACTCTCTTCTAAGACAAGAAAAGCTTGTTAAGCAAAGCATTTGTCAAGCATTTGGAAAAAATATGAACTGAACTGATCTTACTTCATATAGTATACTGTATATGCAAGACCATTAGGGCTACAAAATAATATATAAGATAATGGTTCTGACCAATAGTGCCAGTGCTTCCTTGGGATCCTTCATCAGCCTTAGGTTTGGGTGGAGATCCACTGTTTTGAAGAGTCCGATTAGATATTCCATGTTTGCGGAGCAGGTGGCGCTCACAGTTTGACTTGGTGGAGAAGAATGACTCACACTGAGGACAAGGGTATGGCTTCTGACCTGTGAAATCAATGCACAAAACTGTAACACCCTGAAGAGAGAAACAAAACATTATTGACTCAAATACATTGGATCAAAGAAAAAGTTAATATATACGTTACATAATAAATGTAAAAGTTTGGGGTCGGTAAGATTATTTATTGTTTTTGAAAGAAGTCTCTAATGCTCACTATTTCACTATGTCTTCACTATAAATACAGTAAAAAGAATAATACTGTGAAATATTATTACAACTTAAAATAACTGTTTTCTATTTGAATATATTTTAAAATGTAATTTATTTCTGTGATTGCTGAATTTTCAGCAGTCATTACTCCAGTTTTCAGTGTCAGATGATCCTTCAGAAATCATTCTCATATGCTGATTTGGTGCGCAAGAAACATTTCAATGTTGAAAACAGTTGTGCTGCTTAATATTTTTGTGGAAACCATAATACATTTTTTAGGATTCTTTGATAAATAAACTAAGAAAGTTAAAAACAGCATTTATCAAAAACAGAATTATTTTGTTACATTAAACATGTTTTTACGGTCACTGTTGATCAATTTAATGCATCCTTGCTGACAAAAAGTATTAATTTCTTTAAAAAAAAGACTCCAAACAGTAGTGTAAACCATTATAGACAGTGAATGAATTTCAAATCTTACCAACTTCAGCATGTTTGTTCACTCTGCATTACTGTGAGGATTATCTAAGATCTATATAGAGTCTGAAATGGTTGAAGAACAATTCCAGCTAAATGGCTGACAAATGAAATAGTGTACAACATTTAACACATTCTGTAACCTCCACTTTCTTAAGAATGGTATGTAGCTCACTGTATTGTAGGACAGAGTAAATAAAGTGCTGTATGGCATAATTTATGAATTGTAAACAGTGTCTCACCTGTGTGTGTTAACATATGCCTTTGCAATGAGCTGGCCCAAGGGAACAGACGTGGGCAGTATGGGCAGGTCATTTTCTGCACTGAATTCGAATAAGCGTTCTTCTTTCCTTTGTTCTGTGAAGGTTTCTTTGGCTTATCCTCTCGTCCCTCTTTTGCCTCCTCATTGACGGACTGCTTCTCTTTCTCCTCCTTCATTGGCTCCATCTGACTGGGTTGTAAGTAGGGGCTGAATTTATTTGAGTCAGTGGTAGCTAGCATTTTCTCCACACTGGGAAACTCGCCACTTGACTCCAGGTCGATGCCACAGCCTGCTGGTGTTCTCGGATCACAGATCTCCTCCTGAAACGGTCTCTTCTTGCCTCTCTTCTTTGAGTTATCAGAAGAGCCATTTTGAATGGAATCCAGTTTGGTGGTGCTTAAGGGACCCTTCTTCTCACTTAGTGTATTAAAATCCATTGCACTAACACTGTTTTTGCCATCTATTCCTGTTTCGATCAACACTGGAGTAGCTGACACAGATGAGATGATCTGCGCAATGGAGGCCAGTGGTGCCATTTCAGTACTGGAAACCGAAGATGGTTTGGGTAGCAATGGCTTTAAGCGAGTAAAAGGCTTAGTAAGGTCACTGGACAGAGCAGAGGCCAGGCTTGAAATGGAGACTGGGAGAGCTGCAAGAAGACCAGGGGTCGTTTCCAGGGTGTGTTCTTTCTTGATGTCTTGATGATTCAGAGATATGCTCTGAGGCAGTTCTTTCATCATTCTCTTCATCTCAGGATCCTTAGGTATCGAGAGATCAATGGGCTCCATAGAGCAGTCGTTAAACAGAGGAGATGCTGTTCCTTCAAGTTTAACATTTGAGGCAATCGTTTTTTGAGATTTGCTAGAGAAATCTAAAGGCTGGTCCTGGTCCTCAACAGGTCCAGAGAAAGGACCTACATTCTGAGGAATGGTGCTGTTAACCAGCCCATTTGAGGTTGGAGGGTTGGCTTGAGTGGTGGCCTCTCCTCCAACCGGTACAAGACTTTTGATGTGTTCTTCAATTTCCCTTTCTGGAACATCTGGGTGGTGTTTCAGCAAATGGTGAATACAGTTCCTTTTGGCGAGAAACGCCGCTCCACATTGCTTACACTCAAATGGCTTCCGCTGACATCCATTGTGCGTTCGCAGGTGAATCTGAAGTGCTCTGTAATTCTTAAGGTCCTGCCCACAAAATCGACAAGATGTGTTACCGGCACCGGCTGTATCAAGGAGGTCTAGTGTGCTGCCTCCAATTACACCACTTACACTAGAGGAGGTGGTTACATATTCAATGTTTTTCTCTATGTCTTTGCGGGTGTTCTTCATGTGTTTCTTGCGCAAATGACGCTCACAGTTGGCCTTCACAGTGAAAGGGTAGTGACAGAGGCGGCAGATGTATGGCCGCTCACCGCTATGTGTTCTGAAATGTCGAATCAGCGTCGCTTTGTCAGGAGCGGCGTAGCTACAAATGGTGCATTGGTACGGTGACGCTCCCAGATGGTGACGCATATGAGCCTGGAGGCCACCTAAGAAAGAAAAAACTTCTTTGCAGAACCGACAAGGGTACTCGGTCTTGGCTGTCTTCTTGCCCACAACTCTCGATTCTTTCTCTTTGCCGTCAAACTCCTCTTGCTTTCCAGTTTCATATGAGATTATCGTGTTTCCTATGACATCTGGCCCTAGTTGAGTAGTCTCCCAGTTGGTAGGAGAGGACGAGGTTGAGGACGAAGTGGAGGCTGATGACTGTCTGGCAGTTCTCACTTGTTGACCTGTTTGGGGTGGAAGGCTAGGACTGATATTGCCCGATGAGGCCTGTTGGGCATTCATGATGGGCGGAGGGGGTGTGGAGGCACCCATGCTGGATCGAGGAGTGATTAAGGGCTTTTGCTTCAGAGAAGCAATCTGTTTGGGGTCCACCTGCAGAGGACTGCCCAGACCTTTGGCAAGCAAGGACAAAGACATCTGAGGTGGCACAGAGGCTGCAAGCTTAAGGATTTGTTCAATGTCTGCCAGCTCCACCGCAGCTTGACCACTTATTGGGACAAACATACCACTACTGACGACACCATGGAGCGGCTGTAGAGACAGGACGCCGAGGGCGGCATTCTTGTTCACGGCTTGAAGTGAGACGGGTTCCAAAATTGAGATGCTGGGATCACTGCTGCTTTCTTGAGGTAGATTTGTTGAAGGTGTCTCAACATGAATGAAGCGAATGCTGTCTAAAATTTTCTGTTGAATTTGCTCTTCTGATTTCTCTGGCTTGACCAAGGAGGAGCGTTGGAGACCCAGGCACTCCATAAAACAGTTTTTCCCATCTGAACTGGTTCTATCAACATGTGATACTAGTTCATTGACCTCCTTGGAATCCGTGAAATGGGAGTTAACTTTGGGTGCATCCATAACATCATCTGCATTATGTTCCTGAGGTTCAGTGCAGGTGTCTGCACTACATTTGTGTGAGGATTTGTGGAGACAAAGAGACTGCTGAATAGGGAAGGCCTTGTTGCAGTCCTCACAAACAAATTTGTGGAACTTGCTAGAGCATCTGCGCAAATTAGTCTCACACCAGACCTGAATAAATAAAACAAATGATCTTCTGTCATCATCCAAAAAAGGAATAAAGTGATTCTTTCCTATGTAATGTATTTACAAGTCTTTACCTGTGCAATTTGGGGAAATTTCTGACAGCTGAAGTCAATGAAAGCCAAGTCACCAAACCCCAGAGGGATAGAGGGGTTATTCTGAATAAAGGGTCGTCCAGAGGGGTCAGTGGGAAGCTGCTTATGAATGACGGTGTTATGACGCAGAAGACCACGATGTGTGCGAAAGGTAATGCAACAAATGTTACACCTAGGATTAGAAGAAACAGTCAGAAACAGTAAATATATTACATATATATACACAGAAATACAACGTCCTAAGCCTACCTGAGTGTAGTGTCAGGATGTGTGTCTATGTGTGTTTCCAGATCATATTTACAGTTGAATGTCTTAAAGCAGATGGGACAATGAAGAATCTCTTCTTCACTCTTAACAGAATCATCCTCTCCAGACTTTTGTGTCAACATCACCTAAACACAAGACAGATTGTTTGCATATAACTTCAGAAGTACAGGCACAATAAATTCCAAAAGTCATTTAAACTCTGACTGTTTTCACTGAAAAACCTTTTTAACTGGTGGCTCCTCAGCCTGCTCCACTTCATCCTCTACATTAGGCTTCCTCTTAGGGAGTCGTCGACGGGTGTTTAGTTGGGAAGAACTGGATGGAGGAATACTGTTTGCATCTTTTTCATGAATTTTTATGTGCCTGCAGAAATACATAACCAGTCATTTCAGGCCATGTTCTGTCTATTAACAATCATCATAAAAAAAAGAGAAATTAAAATGCTTTATTACGCAAAATTCATAGGTGCTCCTTACTGACTTACATTTGTGTTTACTGTACTGTAAACTGCATTTGAGCATTTGAGGTGTTTGAGGGGAAAAAACAAACAAAAATGAGTGCTGTCAAAATTAATGTGTTATGCATGCAATACATTTTTTTTTTCAGTTTAACGCGTTAAAAATATTTAAAGCAATTAACGCAGGGGCGGAGCTTGGGTTGGCCCCCCCACTCACAACTGCTGCTTCTGTCTCTTTTTTCTGTATAGAAGATCAACATATACAATTTTAAATTTAAAATGAGCTGTTTTAATCGTAACCCAGTAAAATGACTACTATAAAATGACTGTTAAAATAATCAGGGTTCATTTAAATCTTTAACCTCATCCATGTAAAACGTTCTCTGTTTTCATCTTGATGTGATGGCACCAGGGCCACTGGAATACTTCAATAATTAATGCAAAATACAGAGGGGAGTGACTAGGTGGGGTAAATGCAATTATATGGCCAGCAGAGGTCAGAGGTAATGTGTGGAGGCAAAGTGCTGGGAGTTGCATTACGACATGCTGGAACGTGTGCACCCCTCACCCTCCTACACTTTCACAGAAACAAACCCACCTTTCAGGTTCAACCAGATACAAGGCCCCTGATGCTTATGTGCAGCTGTGTTTCATTGAAAATGGTTGACCGTCTATATACGGTGTGCACATTTTCTAATTAATGTGTTTGCATTGTGGTGTGTACAGTTAATGGTGATGCACTGAGTGTATGGACCTGCAAAGGGAGGATAAATGTCAGCAGACCCAGTGGTAAGATTCTTGTTT